TTTTTGTGATCAATGTTTTAGTATATTCAGTCAAACATATTCACATGTCAGGCGTTTGTTCCAACAGTGACATGTGACAACTAATTCTTTAAAAACTTGACTCTAATAACACACGAACTTTCACAAAATAAAAGAAAATGGGTGACAGTGTAGCTGAGCAGGGATCAGTGAGGATGAGGTCGTATTTAAGCTGTGATTGGTGGGTGGCTGATGAGCACCTGTAACCTATCGGTAGCTGACAGCTGAGCACATGACTGTGTCCTGCATGAACTAATGCGATACTTCATATATAATACACTTGGAATATGAAATATTAGGCTATATATTCCAGGACAGAAGTCAGGGGTGAATCAACTGTTAGGTGAAGGGTCATTTGGTTTCTTCATCCTCCTCAGCCCCAGAAGGTTTTGACATGGACTATAGGTATGAACTTTTTGTTTTTTCCTTTTTTTTTTTTTTTCGGGAAGCCTCAGGCTCCATAGACTCTGAAGCAGGGAGAGCATCAGGGAGGGACTCCTGCTGATTATTTATCACTGTTTTATCTGCAGGTTTATTCTCATTTTGATCCTCCTGCTTCTCGTGCTCCTCCTCCTGCCTCTCTTCCTGCTCCTCCTCCTGCCTCTCCTCCTGCTCCTCCTCCTGCCTCTCCTCCTGCTGCCCCTGGTACATGGGGCCCTCTCTCCTCTTCAGTGAGAGCCGAACATTGAGTTCAGTCATGAGAGCGCGCACCTCGTTCCGCAGATCAATTTTCTGCGCAGCAGCACTTTTCGGGAAAATAATTATCAGCTCCTCCAGTTTTTGACGCTGGGCAATCTGATCAGCTGCGAACTTTTCCATCAGAGACTTGAACACTTTTTCAAACTGAGACTTCGAGTTGTCGGCCTGCTGCTTGACTGTGAGGATGTCAATTTCATAACTATTTCTAACGTCCCAATGTGAAGCTCTAAGTCTCTCCAGTTCTTTATGGAGAGCCTCGTTTTTCTGCCTCTCAGTCCGCAGATTCGCCCTCAGACTCTGATGTGAGAATTTAAGAGCCTCCTCATGTTGTTTGTACCAGATGTCCTCTTCACAGTAGGCTTCCACCTCACAATCCTCAAGATCACTGTTCAATATTTCTAGAGTCTGTAGTTCCGCCAACTTTTCTTTGTACTTGTCCAGCTGATAGCAAAGCTGGATTCTGCACCGCTGTTGTTTACGATTGCGGACCCTCTCTCTGTCCAACCGCTGTGTAAGATCTTTGACCTCTCGCCGCAGTGCCCTGCACTCCATCCAGTCCTCATCTATCTCTGCAACCAGTCCAGTGGTTCCTCTATTGTCCAGCATGGTGGTCGAACCAGTCCTTCCTTTGTAAAATCAATGTGAACCAGGAAAAATCTCGCTGTTTGTCTCTAGTTGAAGTATCTATAATTTCATTGTACCCCCTGTTCAGTGACGATAAAGCCCTATTCACCTAACCCTAACCCTAACCCTAACTGAGTGGAGAGCTGCAGTCAATGTCAAGGAGAGTATCAAAGACCTAAAGCCTTTGATCTTCCCCATTCTATTTCAGTTTTTGAGAGTTAATTAAGTCAAACGGACAAACAATTTACCCTCGTGCAATTTTGTGAGATATGATCAGCCATTTTCTACTATTGTATTTATGTAGCTCAATTAGCATCTATGCATCTGCTGCAACACTGTTCTTCACATTGTGGCTGTTTGCCCATTTCTTTTCCTCCCCTTCAAACACCTGCAGTATTTTTTCTCGCTGGATCTCGGAGATATATCCACACACAAACACAAACATTATTTGCGAAGGAGTGATTGTTCAAATCTTGTCTTTTTTGTGAGCAGCATAGCCTGGTCGCAGTATTTAGATTAAGCCGTAGTGTAGTTACTGTACACTGAGGTTGCATAAATCAGGAATAAAGCACCGCGCTCAAACGTGAATCATGATCCAACGTAGCAGGATCAGAGTCAAACTCATAAAAAATGCATTATCTTAATGGGTGCTTGCCCTCTTCAAACACTTTCCCACTCAGTATGTGGATATGTTGTATTTTCTATAATACTGTGCAGTAATTGTCCTCATTGACCTCTAAACACTAGGCTTGTGTTTTGGATCTGTCTTGTTATATCCACATGTGGTTTAATCAGACTGTTAAAAGTGTATGTCAGCATGCAGTGTGTGTGTGTGTGTGTGTGTGTGTGTGTGTGTGTGTGTGTGTGTGTGTGTGTGTGTGT